GGAAGCGGTTGGTGGGGGGGGGGTCGAACCTACGGGTGATACCATGTCGAGAAGAAAACTGAACAAGTGTTTTGATAGAGAGAGAGAACAAGGGTATATACCTAAAAGTGTTGTACCCTCTAAGAGGTGACCCTATAAAGTCCATACAAATATGAGTTATACATATATTTGACAGTAAGGCCACAAGGCCAGTCTGACTGGCATATATAATAGAGAGTACACAATCAGGATCCTAACAGGTGAGTAGCTACAGGAACAAGACCAAGCTGTACACAGTGTCGCTGATGATCTTTAGGCGCAAGCGCCTTAGTAAAGATATCAGCTGTGTTGGCACCTGAGGCCAAGTGAACTACGCGGGCCTGGCGGCGCTGCTGTAGCTCGCACAGGAGGAAGTACTGCAACTGGATATGCTTCGCTCTGCCCTCAAGCCGAGGCTCCTGACACAGGAGTATCATGGCCCTGTTGTCAGCATACAGGACCGGGGCAGAGCTAGGCCGCTCACCTAAGTCTGTGAGCAAGAAGGTCAGCCAGCGGAGCTCCTGTGCCGCCAAAGCACCAGCGTAGATCTCAGCCTCACAGTTGGACTAAGCCACAGACGACGAGCGAGTGGATCTCCAAGAGATAGCACCCGAACCAAGGCTAAAACAGTAGCCCTGCGACGACCAGAGCGTCTCAGAGTCGTCTGCCCAAGAAGCGTCTGTGTGCCCAGTAAGGACCACTGGCCTGCGTCCTCCTAACACTAACCCCATGCCCGATGTACTTGCAAGATAACGCAAAACCCTCTTAGCGGCAGACCAGTGCTGAGGTCGGTGTCTGCCTGTAGCCACAAAGCGAGCCAGGATGCTGAGAGGGTATGCGAGATCTGGGCGAGTGCAAGTCATCAGGTACATGAGGCAACCCACCAGCTCTGCGTAGGGGCCACTGGGCTCTACTGGCTCCTCAGGAACGGGAGCGGAGAGCTCATGGTCTACAGGTAGAGGTGTGGGCTGTGCGGAGGAGAACTGAAGACCGAACCTCTGAAGGACCTGACGCACCAAGTGTGATTGGGTCAGAGTGATGGTGCGTGCTGCTCTGTCCCTAGAGATCTGCAGGCCAAGATAGCGACGCAGCTCTCCAAGGTCAGTGCAGGTGTGTCTCTTCAGAAGCTCGGCCTTCACAACTAGGAATGTACAGCTACTAGTTAAGTAAAAGCACCACTACACCACGCCAGTCTACAAGTCCTCTATCTAGTCTAGACTTCACAATATTCCACGACACTAGCTACACTTGACGGCCATCCATGTTCACTTCGTCTTCTGCCTCGTCATCGGACAGAAAGGGGTTGACTTCCACTTCAGGAGGAGCCTCTCCCCCACTTCCCCCTCCCCTCTCCCTCATCCTCTGCCCAATCCCCCATGTAGTTGGGGACTGCCTCCTCCTCCACCCTCACTTCTGCCCCCTCAATTGCCTTCGCCTTACGCTTCCTCTCCGCTGCGGCAAATAGAACAGACTTAGCAGGGCGCCTCAGCGTCTCGCGCCAACACCCAAGGGCCTCGTCCCAGTCAGTCTCGTACTGCAGCAGGGAAATGACCATCAGCTCGCTGAGGCGCGCATTGCACAACGCGCCCCGCACCCATGACTTGATGACGTTCTGCCGTGAGAAGCCTCGTTCACACTCCACTGTGCTAAGCGGCAGGACAGCGCACGCCTGCCACAAGTGCATGAGGTTCGGCCAGCGCCTGCCAAAAGGGTTGGGGAATAGAGTACAAGGAAAAAGACCAGTGCATTAGCAATGCTAGTCAACAATCGATAAACAACAACATTCAAAGGGAAGAATAAAACCGCCCAAAAAAAATGCAACAATCGTCCTTCGAGCAGCACTCTCTCACAAGGTCGACTCCGTCGAGCTGAGGTAGTTCGTCAGGCCTTGATGGAATCCCTCGTCGGCATGGTGGCTCAGCATCAGTGGCGCCCACGTGACCAGCTCCTTCTGCGCAGCTTGCAAGGAAAAGCCTGTCAGCCTGTTGTCGAACAAGGCACTGCAGCTATGTAGGTACTCCTTCAGCTTCTTCTCTCTCTGCTGCTTCATCCGGGCCACTTCGACACGCGGAAGAGCTTCGTCGAGCCGAGATTGTTCAGGTCCAGCATCCTCGTCTTCGGAAGCTTATCGTGTCCTTCGCGAACTGCGCGCAGAGCCGCTCGCAATCAGTATACTTGCTGTGGAAGGCATGCCCGTCGATCTGCTTCTCGTGCATGGTGTAGGTGTGCGTGACTGGGTTGCCGTCCTTGTCGATGCCCCGCACCTTTACGCGTTTGCCCCCTCCGCGCCCGTAGACCGCCAAGAAAGCCGAAAGCCACGTGCCTTCAACACCCCCACCGAACACCTCTCCGCACTCCAAGTAACGGTGGCGGAGGTCCCCTGTCGCCTCGTCGATGTCCTTTGTCACTTCGGTGACATCGACCTGATGGAAGTGTCAGACAAGGGAGTGGAGTCAGAGGGTGATTCCAAACGTGGATGCATGGGATAAAAACTACAACAGCCACAGTGGTATTCATAGTTGAGCTCATTCATCACTCCGAGCACGTCCGCCAGGAAAAAAAGACAGAACTGGAACTTGTAACAAATGACGACCTCATACAGCTCATGCCCGTACTCATAAAAGAGAATGATAGCGGCGCCAAGGACCTTACAGAGGCGCCTCACAGCCTCACCCCTTGAAAGCCAGTGCACGGTGTGAATTCCTTGCACTTCAAGGTTGGTGTTGTGTATTGCCCGCTGCAGGTACTTGAAGCGTTGACTCCAGACACATGAACGTCCCAGAAGATCGGCCAGAGTCCGAATCACAAGGTCGACCATGTCGAAGTCTGGAGAAGCAGTGGCTGCGTCCTTCACCGCCAAGGCTTCCCTGCATGGTGCACACGAAAGAATTTTAGACAAGCAGTTGTACGAACCATAAGCGACTGAAATGACGCTAGGTTTAACCTGTGGGCGATGCAGTGCGACGAGACGAGGTGGGGGATGTGCTCGCGAAGTCGGGCGACGAGACCATTGTCTCGGCCGACCATGACAGAGGCGCCGTCGGTGCTCATGCCAGTGAATCGGGAGAGGTCGATGCCAGTTGCTCGCAAGTGAGCTAGAAGAACGGCGAGGAGAGACGCGGCATCGCACTTTTCGACGGTCAAGAGAGCAAAAAACTCTGTGACAACACGATGCGCACGCAAGAAGGTAAGATAAACAATAAGATGTTTGCCGCGAGTACGGTCAGTGCTCTCGTCGCAGCTGATGCCGAGGTAGGGTGAGGCGAGAATGTAGTGCATTTGTCGGCAATGCAGGTAAGTTGCCAGGCTGCTGACGAGCTGACAGAAGCCATACCTGTAGTACCAGAAGTGACAACAAGGTGTTGGTTAGACATTTTTGAAAAATGAAGGACATGGTGTACTTCGAATAAGTGCATTACCGTGTCAGGTAGACTCCGTAAGACTGCAGCGGAATGTCCGGTGTCTCCTGCTCGGCCATGAAGCGGAGTAGCCTCGGGTACATGCTGATGGGTGCATCACACTTGCACAGGAAGTCGACGCAGCGTAGGAGCCTCATGACGCGCTTCCCCTCAATGTCAATCCTCGCGTAATTCTCCATGCGCCTCTGGGTGCTGGCGATGTCTTAGGCGATCTCCATCTGACGCTTGACTGCTACTTCGTGGGCTGTCGTGTGTTCGTGGAACCGCATCGCTTGCGTCTGCAGGTCACGTGCCCCGTCGCGGCTGTTGGAGTACGGTGTTGTCTCTTTGCCGAAAGCCTTGCACACACTGCACTTCAAAGTAGGGTAACCGTCTTTTGTTTTCGTTAGCAGAAGCCAAGGGAAAAATGGAAGCCAGCTGGTCTTATACTTGTGCTCAGCCATGAGATACTTCTGCTCGATGAGTTCCTTCTTTGAGAGATTCGGCGGCTCGGGTTCTGGAATACCAGGGCCTAAGGTTCAGGCGACGTGCGAGGCGGCGACCGTCGATGTAGCTTCCCGCCGAGGACTATCGTGCTCTGGGTGTACTTCCCGACGCGTGCTTTCTTCCCAGATGAAATCGTCGACGCACACTCGACCGTGTAACGCACGGTCGTGGCTGTCTCACAGTCTGGAACCAAAGGGCCCCGGCTAGATGAGGCGACAGCGGGCGGAGGTACATAGGGAGCGGCGGGAGTAGATACGGGTTGTGATGGTGTAACGACTGCGGTGGGAGACGCAAGATGTCTAGAGCGGATCTACGGACCTCCACGGGGGGTCCCTACCTAGTCCAGAACCATCATCGGCAGTGGGAGACTCACCAGAGTCTCCTACATCCGCCATGGCTAGAAGCGGCGGATATGATGGAAATGAGAAATCGGCGCGACGAAACTAAAGGAGACAGAAAACTGGAGCATCTCGTAGCTGTGACGTGAAAAAATGAAAAAAACTGGGTTGGAGGAGGAGCTGGTGAAGAAGACGGGAAGAGGACCAAGAGGCCTCATCTTTCGATTTTGATGGATGGTGCATAACCCATCCAGGTTCCCGTATCGCCATGGCGATACCGTCAACTGCGAGACGCACCTGCGCTGGCATCGTCTGCACAGAGATGATTGGCGGGGTGATGTGATACATAGGCTGACATTGCCGCGCTCATCATATTCTGTCATCGTCTGCTGCGTGCTGAGTCACGAATGCCAGTTGACGGTTGCAAATGTTGCTGTAATGGCAACATACAGCGTGTACACGGCGGGAATCTTGCCGAGTGCAGAATTGTGACACGACCTCAGAGGAGTGTGCAGTGCAGTCGTCATAGGTGCCGTGTGCAGAGAGGAATTGGTAGTCCTGCCCTTGCAAGGAGAATCCGAGAACTGCCAGAAAGCGGGGTGAATGTCGACGTGGTGGTATCCAGATTTGAGATCGATCGTGAATAGCCAATCGCCTTCTTGCACCAAATCAGGAACGCGAGTAAGTCCTTCGTATCGAAAACGAGGTACTGAGAGGAATGAGTTGACATGCCGCAAATCCAATATCAGTCTCTTTTTTGAGGGTTGGACAATCACGTTTAAGGGGCTAACGCATGTGAGGGTTGTGGAAGGAGGAACGACCCGAGCTGCGCCGGTGGCGAGAAGCTCGGCCACTGCGCCTACGGCGAAAGAGGTGAATTGCAAAGCACCGGCATGGTCTTAGTACGAGACGGAGGGGGCTCAGAGGCAACCCGTGGTAGGCGATATCCAGATGTAATCACCGATAGAATCAAGCGGCTGTCGCACCAGGCGGACCACCATGCAGCGCGGTCACGGAGGCGGCCTTGCATGCGGGTAATCTTGGTTGCGTCATCGGCATAGGCCGAAATGGTTCCGAGCTCTGGTAGGAGAGGGAACACAAATAGGGACGGTAGAGAATCAGGAAGGTACCTCATGTAGTTCCGAACGCAACGATTTTTTTTTTTTTTTTTTTTTTGGAAGGAAGGCAAACGCTAGATATAGGTGCCCGCTTGCTCGCTATTATTCGGCCACGTCATCCCTTAAGTGATAAAATATGGGTTGGGAATGTGAACTTGGCATTTTGGGCTGTAGTTGGTCGTCATATATTCCTTGTCGTGAACCAAAAAGTGTTTCGGGAAATGTTGCCAAAGCATTCGCCAAGTGTTCTAATCTTAGTCCGCCAGGAGTGTTCACCCACATGTTCGCAAAACGTTTGCAAAGCATTTGCGCAAATGCTACGCAATCGTTTTGCGAGCATACGGTTTTTTTTTTTTTTTTTTTTTTTTTTTTTTTTTTGCGATGGACATAGAATCTTGTGATGAATCTTATCAACGTCAGTCTTTAAAGGACGCACACACATTGTGTATGCGTCTTGTGGGCACGCTCACGTCTTCTTGCACGGGCCCAACGTGCAAGACCATGTGGCCGTATGACGCGCGTATTAATCTTGCTTGAATGCACAAATGTGCGTGTGTGTTTTTTTTTTTTTTTTTTTTTTAATTAAGAACGCTACAACATCGGAGAGGTTAAGCAAACTTTACACAATCTTAGCTGGCCGATTGGCCCCTTGGCCCCTTTGGGGGCAATTAGCCATCCCATGCCCGGGTTCACGGCAATAGAAACAACGGCCGTCGCCGTCCCTACGCCATGTGTTCCAAAGGCGCTCCCCTTGGCCGCGAGGGCGAAGAGGGGTTCAGGACGGGAGGTGGGATGGGTGGGCCGAGTGGGCCTCTTCTTGCTGGCCGCTACAATCTGAGAAGCGGCCTTCACATTCTTATCCTCTACCACTTCCCCATACTTAATCTTAAGGGCCATATTGGCCACTTCGAAACCGCGTTGATCGGCGGTAAACAAAAAATGAATCTTCTCTTCCGCCTCCTCTACTATCTGCTGGAGATAGTCGGCGGCTTGTTCTCCACCGTCAAGTGGTAAAACCGAGATAGCATGACGTGCAATAGCTTGAATGCGCTCAAAACTAAAAAGTTGCGTACGAATTCCATCGCTTTTAACTAAGGAAGAGCGCAACTGAGGACGTGCAGGTGGAATAGGAGCGAGGGTGAGCGATGCAGAAGCGGATTTCGGGAGGGCGGCATTACCTTCGTCGAGCGTGGCATGGGGTGCTTCCTCGTCCATTTCGTCGTCAACGGGCTCGGGGGCGGGCGCCGGGAGGCGAGAGCGTGGGGCCACCGTCGCTGCGACGCGTGCTGGTTCCGGTGGCGGTGCGGGATCGGCGCCATTGCCACGCTGGAGCGCCGCGAGAAGACCAAGAACGTGGTGAATGGCCTCGTTGTTGGTGCCGGCGTTAACATTGTTGTCGGTGTAGCGAGCAGAATTATGTTCTGCAGAATGAGGCGCTGTAGATGCAGTGGAGCGCGCCAGCAGCTCCTGTGAAGATTCGCTGGAGATTGCGCTGGGCTGCAGGATCCAGGCGCGCAATCATTTCGGCGATTTCTGCTGCTCCAGGGGTCGAGATCTGCGGAATCCCGCGCGGATTCACTGCGGCAGGAGCAAAATCTGAGCGGCGATCTGCGCGATCCCGGTCCCGATCCTGGCGATCCTGGCGAATCTGGGGCGCTGGGGCGTTGAGATCGCGCTCATGATGACGCCCTGCGCGCGCAGTATCACGATCATGATTGTGGTCCTCGCGCGCAGGACCGTCATGATTGCGTTCGGTAGGTGGGGGCCGGGAGGGGGCGTTTTCGGCAGTCGGGTTCGTGTCGACGCGGTTCTGCTCGTTACGCCGCTCGCCTTGAAATCCGGGGGGGAAATCGCATTTGCGTGACGTGTTACGATCCGCGTCCCCTGCCGCGTTTTCGACGTGCTGAACAGGGTCTTGACGCGCGCCACTCAGCAAATCCAAAGCGGTAACTGCGCCGTTACCTCCGCCAGGACGAGGAGAACGAGATCGTTCTCTATGCTGAGATGAAGAGTTTCGGTCCCCCTCACGTACAGGGGACCCACGCCTTCCACCACTCCTAGTATTCACACGAGGAGCAGGAGGCCTACCACTTGCAGCGGAAATGAGTCCGCTAACCATTGTAGAGTATCTAACAGAAATAACGTCTTGCAGCAAGAGACTTCTATGCCCAGATTTGGGCATAGAGGTTTAGAGTGTGCTGGTGGTATACAAGTTGGAACAGAAAAATGCAAATGAGACTAGGTGGCAGGTCTGAAAGACCTGCCGATAGATGAAGGAGTTTGTCTCCTTTACAGCAAACTCCTCTTCTAGTCGAATCACAATCTGTAAATTTTTTACTACAAAAAAATTTCTCATAAGTCCCTCACGGCTAGAGACATCCTCCCACGCACCCTGCTAACCTGATTTTTCTTTTCTTTTCGCAAGTCCTTTCAGCCAGAGACGTCACTCTAGCAGCAGCACCCCCCCTTTCCCACACCCCCGCTACCCTTTTTTGCCGCTAAGTCCTCCACGCCACAGCAAGTTGGCGTGATTGACAGGGAGGGTGGGGGGGAAATTCGGAAATAACGCGGGGGGGCGGGGGCGGGGGGGGGGGGGGTTGGGGGCTCGGAATCCGCTATTACATGTAGTATCAGGGTCGGTCCCCAATACGTCGCTGGAAAAACAGGCCTCACTACACTAGTCACGCTGATCGATCAGAGTTCACTTCTAAAAAAACGCTGAAATTTCAGGCCCGTGTTAAAAAAAAACCCTGTCTCATCAGGGTCACCAAAAAAAAAAACCCTGATTTTATCCTAAATCAGGGTAAAAAGCCTGTAATCTGAGGCCCTGTAACGAAGTCACTAGAAAGTTTATCATCAGCCAACGAGCTAACAATACGACACGTAGACACGGAAGTTTCTAGCATGAACAAATTCATTTGGTCGAATGAATGAACCAAAAAACACGTAAGCGTTCGCCAGCCCAGGTCATGAGTCCTCCCCGAACTTCAAATGCGTGGCTGCAAAGGACCGCATCACGGTGGCGTTTCTATGCAACGCAGACGGATCCAGTATGTATCGTCCTCTCATCGTCTCTAAAGTGCGACGGCCGACTGACTTTAACGCGAACAGCTTCGACCCCGAGCCGTATGTCTACTGGCGCCAAAATCCCAAGGGCTGGATGACTTCCGAAGTGAGTGACGATTTCTTATGCACGTACGTAAGTTTGTGAGTTTACCTTGCGCGCGCTCCGAAATGATACTTTCGCGGACATTCCTCTGTGGTTCAGTAGTTCTCTCAACCCCCCCTTCCCCCCGCCCCCCATCTACAGATCTTCACGTCTTTCTTCGAGTCAGTCAACGCATGCATGTTCTACGAACAGAGGCAGATCGTTGTGTTGGTGGACAACGCCTCATCCCACAACCTTCTTTCTCCCACCGCCACCACTGAGGATGTCTGTGGCTTCCGCTCGCGGAAGCTCAGCAACGTCCGCATCGTCTATCTCTCCCCCAACACCACTGCATACTGTCAGCCGTTGGACCAGGGCATCATCGCGACCGTCAAGCGGCGGTTCCGATCCAAATGGCTACAAGAGCTGTGGAAGCTGTGGGACTCCCAGGTGTCACCAGCGTCACAGGCGACGAAGAAGCCAAAGGCATGGCAGACGGTGCAGTGGCTCTCCGATGCATGGGGCAGTATTGAGCAAGACACCGTGCAGCGGTGCTGGCACCACGCCAAGATATTGCCCCGCAGCTGGAGTCGGATCCTCCCGCACCTCATGTACGAAAGCTCCGACCCAAGCGACCAGACAGAGGAACTGTGGATGGTGGGATCACAGATTGACCAGTTCGCGTTCGGTGCTGACGCCCTCTCCGCCGAGGACTTCACTCGCATCGACGAGACACACCCGACTTGCGAGCCCGGCAGCGTCGATCCTCTCTCCACCGAACCACCTCCAGTGCGCCAGAGCCTCCCTTCGTTATCGAGCTGTCTGAACGCGCAAGGGCTATGCGGCGGGTTCGGCGACTAGCGACTGATCTGCTCATCGCTTATGCGAGAGCGACACGGATCCGTCCGTAATACCTCAAGGAGCTGTTCGACATCCGAAACGCGGATGTGATAGAACGCCTCGAGAGGGCCAGCCCAAAGCCGCGCAAGACGTTCGGCATCGACCTGAATTACGCTCCTTCTCCTCGCGCTTCAGCCAACTGCAGCGACGATCGAGACACTGAGGACACCGCCGTCAGCCGTGAACGACTTCTGCAAGCGACGGCTGTGATGGACGGCTTCGATGGCGCGGCTGAGATTATGAGGACCTTTTAAACGCACCCTGTGTACATTTCCATATCTCCCATGCGTTTCCTCGTGTGCCTCAATGTTTGCGTGGGCGTGGGTTTGCGAGCCTGTTTGGACAGTGTATGTTTTTGCGTGTGTGAAGGTGTGCGTGCTTCTTTGTGTTGTGTTTCTCTGCAATCTCGCCCGTTGATGTGTGCGTGCGCGTCTGTGAGGAGCTGTGTGGATATGTGTGCCTTTCTGGTTTTTTCTTCTTCATGAGTTCGTGATTCTCAGCTGCGCGGCAGATGCTAAATCGGGGGCGTATGCGCATGTGGGCAGTGAAGGTCATCGAGCAATGTGGGAAGGCTGAAATTGTGGCGTTGGGCAGGCCCTGGAACCTGTGGTTTCATCTCTGGAAATACGTGGATCTGTTGTAATATAAGTGTTGTAATTCTGCTGCTGTTGTCTCATAAACGTAGTGCAATGTTGTTGTTGTTGTAACATGAACCGTTTCCTTCGAGTCAAAGGCCCTGTGCGCCGGTTACCAACACAAACGCACATACGCCATTCGCATTTAATGACTACAGTACGGCTACTCCCGCCCCAGAAGTGTACAAGCCCTTTTTGCCCGGTGTTTTGGCCAGAGGATACATGCACGCACCGCGCAAAAAAAATGCGTGCCTGTATCGTGGAACAGGTGTACCCTTGTACTGTTTTCTCTGGACATTCGATTCTATGTTAACATGGTATCACACTTGGTAGGTAGGTCCAGCCGCCCACGCTTCCGCCCTAGGCCCTCAACGCGCCGCCCCTAGCCGCCGCGCCCGTTCCTAGCCGGCCCCCTGAGCCGCCGCGTCCGTCCTAGCCGGCCCTCTGAGCCGTCGCGTCAGTTCCTCGCCGGCCCCCTGAGCCGTCGCGCCCGCCCTAGCCGGCCCCCTGAGCCGTCGCGCCCGTCCTAGACAGCCCCCTGCGTCGTCTTGCCTGTTCCTAGCCGCCCCCCTGCGCCGTTCGCGCCCAGCCGGCCCCCTGAGCCGTCGCGCCCGTCCTAGCCGGCCCCCCTTCTGAGTCGTCGCGCGTGTTCCTAGCCGGCCCCCTGAGCCGTCGCGCCCGTCCTAGCCAGCCCCCCCCCTGAGCCGTCGCGCCCGTTCCTAGCCGCCCCCCTGAGCCGTCGCGCCCGTCCTAGCCGGCCCCCTGAGTCGTCGCGCCCGTCCTAGACGCCCCCCCCCTGAGCCGTCGCGCCCGTCCTAGCCGCCCCCCTGAGCCGCCGCGCCCGTTCCTAGCCGGCCCCCTGAGCCGTCGCGCCCGCCCTAGCCGGCCCCCTGAGCCGTCGCGCCCGCCCTAGCCGGCCCCCTGAGCCGTTGCGCCCGTCCTAGACGGGCCCCTGCGTCGTCTTGCCTGTTCCTAGCCGGCCCCCTGCGCCGTTCGCGCCCAGCCGGCCCCCTGAGCCGCCGCGCCCGTCCTAGCTGCCCCCCCCCCCTGAGCCGTCGCGCCCGTTCCTAGCCGGCCCCCTGAGCCATCGCGCCCGTCCTAGCCGGCCCCCCCCCTGAGCCGTGGCGCCCGTTCCTAGCCGGCCCCCTGAGTCGTCGCACTCGTCCTAGCCGGCCCCCTGAGTCGTCGCGCTCGTCCTAGACGGCCCCCCCCGAGCCGTAGCGCCCGTCCTAGCCGGCCCCCTGAGCCGTCGCGCCCATCCTAGATGCCCCCCTGAGTCGTCGCGCCTGTTCCTAGCCAGGCCCCTGCGCCGTTCGCGCCCGTCCTAGCCGCCTGCCCCCCCCCCCCCCCCTGAGCCGTCGCGCCCGTTCCTAGCCAGCCCCCTGAGCCGTCGCGTCCGTCCTAGCCGGCCCCAAGAGCCGTCGCGCCCATCCTACATGCCCCCCCCCCCTGAGCCGTCGCGCCCGTTCCTAGCCGCCCACCTGAGCCGTCGCCCCCGTCCTAGCCGGCCCCCCCTGAGCCGCCGCGCCCGTCCTAGCCGGCCCCCAGAGCCGTCGCGCCCGTCCTAGACGCCCCCCCCCCCCCCCTGAGTCGCCGTGCCCGTCCCTAGCCGGCCCCTAGCGCCCTCGTCCCGCTCGCTCCGTACCGGCCCCTTGCGCCCGCCCCTTGTCGGCCCCGCGCCCTCTCCTAGACGGCCCCTTCACGCCCGATCCGCGCTGGCCCCGCGTTCGTTTCGCCGCCGCCCACCTCCGACTCGTGCCCAGCTCTTCCTTCCCGACCAGCACCGCACTGCACCGCCCGGCACAGCTCTACACCGCACTGCACCACACTGTACCGCACAGCACTGCACTGCACCGTGCTGTACCGCTCTGCACCGCACTGCATCGCTCTGTATTGCATAGCACCGCACTGCATCACTCAGCACCGCATTGCACTACGCCGCTACTGTATCATCTTGCTACTGCGCCTCTACCTGCTTGCCACCCGCCTCCCTGATCATCTTGCTACTGCCCGCGACCACTTCCTTAGCACCCACCCTGGTGACCTCACCCTCACTGACTTTGTCGACATCCTGACTGCCATAGAGACTTGCCATCACTCCATCGCCCAGACCAGCGGTACTGTGCCGGTCCCTATCTTTCAGGGCTGTGCCCCCGCTCAGTGCACCTTCTCCGACGGTTCTGCTGCTGTGGCTGAGTCCGCAGCTGCAGCGCAGATCCGTTCCGGGAAGGGCCGCCGCCCCAAGACTGGGCGCGGCGGTGGGGGTGGCGGTGCAGGTGGAGGTGGTGGTGGAGTCGGGTCGCCTAGTGGTAGCGCTGACGAGGGGACCCTAACAGGTGCAGCCGAGCAGCCGCCTCAGCAGCCGCAGGTGTCACAGCCGGACACGCACCTGCCGCAGCAGCAGCCCTCGCACCAGCCTCAGCAGCCGTAGCAACCGCAGCAGCAGAGGCGGGCGAGTGGCCTCTCGCCCGGGTGGCCT